GGCTGCAGCCTCTTCATACCTGAGAGTCTCCAGTCTCCACTGAGGATCCTCCAGTCCAGCAGACAGCAGCTTCACTCCTGAGTCTCCTGGATGATTGTAGCTCAGGTCCAGCTCTCTCAGGTGGGAGGGGTTGGAGCTCAGAGCCGAGGCCAGAGAAGAACAGCCTTCCTCTGTGATCAGACAGCCTGACAGCCTGAAACACACAACACAACACACATGTCACATGATCTGAGGGGCTGGAGGGGCACTGCAGGACTGAGATACTATCAGGTACTGAGGGGTCACATTAATATGGTTACTGGCTGTTTCCAGCCACAACTAAACACCCACTAATGTCCATCAACAATCTGATAACTCTATGATTAATATTTCTATTTGTAACATTATATTGAAGATAATATCTACACGTTCATGGAAATATGTGGAAAATACAAATTTGATTTAAATCATGCAAGCAGAAATGCAAGGTAAGAAATGTGCGATTGAATTAAATAAAGACACCAAGTGGACATTGATTGAATCCTGACCTGAGAGTCTCCAGGTCACAGTGTGGACTCTCCAGTCCAGCAGACAAGATCTTCACTCCTGAATCCTGCAGGTGGTTGTTACTCAGGTCCAGCTCTCTCAGACTAGAGGACTGAGAGCTGAGGACTGAGGACAGAACTTCACAGCTTCTCTCTGAGAGGTTACAGCCACTCAGTCTGAAGAGAAAACAAACAAAATAACATTTGTATTCACATTAAATCCTCTGATGAGTTTGGACTAGAATACGATCAGTAAGAACAAAAAGGAAAACATGTTCAGTGAAAGTGTTTACGATTATTTTGTTCTACATTAAACAAGGACGTTTATTGTGCTCTACTGTTTACAGGAATTACTGTGGTATCAATATCCGGATGAGGCAGCGATATTTAATGTTGTTTATTAGTTAAATACAAAGTTAGGCTTCTCTATCCTCCATCTGACTCCTTCCAAAGAAAGATAGAGAGAACAAAGTGAGTCTAAATGAGGAATGAATCTTCATCAAATCAGAAATAATCAACCATCACTCAGCAGATCATCACTGTAGAGACACACATTAGGATCTTCAGTCTCTTTCCAACCTCTACTGTTCATTCATTCATTATATGAAACAGGACATCACAAAACTTGAATTACAGCAACAACAAGATGAACATGTGATGTTTTATCGTGAAAGAACATTGCTATTTGCAAGCTGCTGTGTAGTAAATAAGTCTTGTCTACAAGGTTCTTATGATGTAATGGAAACGTACATACATTCACAAAAAGTTGTGTTTTGTCTCTAAAATTTGTTCCTCTGGTTCCACAGTTCCATAAACACATCATTAAAGACACATTAACTTAATCTGACCTGAGAGTCTCCAGGTCACAGTGTGGACTTTCCAGTCCAGCAGACAAGATCTTCACTCCTGAATCCTGCAGGTGGTTGTTACTCAGGTCCAGCTCTCTCAGACTAGAGGACTGAGAGCTGAGGACTGAGGACAGAGCTTCACAGCTTCTCTCTGAGAGGTTACAGCCACTCAGTCTGAAGAGACAACAACAACAAGAAGAAAGATATTATTTATGCTAAAATGAAATCCTATTTGAGGAGGAGTTTGGACTAAAATACATCATTAAGAGCAAAGAAAATGTGTTCACAATTATTTTGTTTTACTTTAAACAAGAGAAATAAATTCATAGTTCTCTGTTGTTGACAGGATTGACATCAGGACCAGGCAGAGATATTTACTGCTGTTTGTAAGAGCTAAATACAACGTTAAGCTTCTCTGTCCTCTGACTTGTTTTAAAGAAATAAAACTAAGAAAATCTGAACATTAAGTAGAAAAGACGGCAGCGTGTTTAAGTCCTGATGTATGAATCTGACTCTCTGTACTTACAGAACTTTCTTGGAGGCTTTGACCACCGGCAGCAGCCTCAGAAGAACCTCCTCTGAAGCAGAGTATTTCTTCAGGTCAAACACCTCCAGATCTTCCTCTGATGACAGTAAGATGAAGGCCACAGCTGACCAATCAGCAGGAGACAGTTCTTCTGAGTCGAGACTTCCTGAACTAAGGGACTGTTGGATCTCCTCCACTAGAGAATCATCATCCAGTTCATTCAGGCAGTGGAACAGATTGATGCTTTTCTCTGGAGACGCCTTCTTACTGATCTTCTGCTGGATGTACTGGACTGTCTCCTCATTGGTCTGTGAGCCACTTCCTGTCTGTGTCATCAGACCTCGTAGGAGAGTCTGATTGGTCTCCAGGGAAAGACCCAGGAGGAAGCGGAGGAACAAGTCCAGGTGTCCATTAGGACTCTGTAAGGCCTCATCCACAGCAATCTCGTAGAGACGCGTTGGGTCAGGATTGGGTTTAAAGCGTTTAGACTCCAGGGAGGTTCTTTGTTCTCCTGACAGCAGATTGACACCAGAGCTGAAGAAGGTCAGATGGACATGAAGAGCAGCCAGAAACTCCTGAACACTCAGATGGACGAAGCAGAAGACCGTGTCCTGGTACAGTCCTCTCTCCTCTCTAAAGATCTGAGTGAACACTCCTGAGTACACCGAGGCTGCTCTGATATCGATGCCACACTCTGTCAGGTCGGATTCATAGAAGATCAGGTTGCCTTTCTGCAGCTGATCAAAGGCCAGTTTTCCCAGAGACTCGATCATCTTCCTGCTCTCTGGACTCCAGTGAGGATCCGTCTCAGCTCCTCCATCGTACTTGACCTTCTTCACTTTGGACTGAACCACCAGGAAGTGGATGTACATCTCAGTCAGGGTCTTGGGCAGCTCTCCTCCCTCTCTGGTCTTCAACACCTCCTCCAGAACTGTAGCAGTGATCCAGCAGAAGACTGGGATGTGGCACATGATGTGGAGGCTTCGTGAGGTCTTGATGTGAGAGATGATGCTGCTGGCCTGCTCCTCATCTCTGAACCTCTTCCTGAAGTACTCCTCCTTCTGGGGGTCAGTGAACCCTCTGACCTCTGTCACCATGTCAACACACTCAGGAGGGATCTGATTGGCTGCTGCAGGTCGTGTGGTGATCCAGAGGCGAGCAGAGGGAAGCAGCTTCCCCCTGATGAGGTTTGTGAGGAGCACATCCACTGAGGAGAACTCTGTGACATCAGTCAGGATCTCATTGTTGTGGAAGTCCAGAGGAAAGTCGACACTCATCCCAGACCCGTCAAAGATGAACACGACCTGGAACTTCTCAAACCTGCAGATTCCTGCTGCTCTGGTTTCACTGAAGAAGTGATGAACAAGTCCCACCAAGCTGAACTTCTTCTCTCTCAGCACATTCAGCTCTCTGAAGGTGAATGGAAATGTGAACTGTATGTCCTGGTGGTCTTTGTCTTCAGCCCAGTCCAGAGTGAACTTCTGTGTTAGGACTGTTTTCCCAATGCCAGCCACTCCTTTAGTCATCACGGTTCTGATTGGTTCCTCTCCTCCAGCTGAGGCTTTGAGGAGGTCTTCTTGTCTGATGGTTGTTTCTGGTCTGGCTGGTCTTCTGGATGCTGTTTCAATCTGTCTGACCTCATGTTCTTGATTGACCTCTGCAGTCCCTCCCTCTGTGATGTAGAGCTCTGTGTAGATCTCATTCAGAAGGGTTGGGTTTCCTGCTTTAGCGATCCCCTCAAACACACACTGGAACTTCTTCTTCAGGTTGGATTTGAGTTCACGCTGACAAACTGCAGCATGAAGTCCTGGATGAAGACAACAAAGAAGATCAATGAGTCAAAGAATAGATGTCAACATGTTCTCTCCTCAGAGAATGACTATGAATATATTCTGTCCGTCTCTTGAGACATTAGTGAAGGTCTCATTCATCAGCATCTGTAGAGAAATCCTCTTACTGCTCTGCAGACAGTCAGCCAGCTCCTCCTGCTTCATTCTCCTCAGGAAGTGCACTGAGATCTTCTCAAATGCCTCTCTGAACCTCCTCTGCTCTTCATCCAGCACCTCCTCATCCTCTTTCTCTAAGCATTCTGGGTAATCTGAACTCACAACCTTCTGGATCTTCTTCAGCTCGTTCTTCACAAAAGTGAGGATGTTCTCCTCCAGCAGCTGGAACAGAACATTCTATGAATGACAACTAGAACATGGAAGCCACCATCAGGTCCATGTTGGACAGACGGACAATCCACTGGTCTACAAAGTGCAGCATGGAGATGATGGTGAACTGAGATGTAAAAGTAGTTGTTCATGTACACACCATGAAGATGGAGTCCAGGTGTGTTTGATGCTGCTGGGCAGACGGACCTGTGGGAACCTCTGAGCTCTCCTGGTCCTCTCTGTGGAGGAACATGAACCATCAGCTCACATGGTGTTTGGACCATCAACACCAATACAACATTAAAGATATTGGCTTCTGTCATGATGGATCACCACGGAAACCAGATGCTGAAGACTGTTGATGATGGACGGACACTTTATTAGTTGAGTGACAGTTTGATTTGTTTTTAGTTGTTCTAAGAACAAAGTCTGCAGACCTCTGCATCTGATAAAGTCTTATGGAACTACTCCAAACCTCTTCAGTCCGTCCTCTGACCTCTAGAAGTCTCCTTAGACCTTCTGAAACTAGTCTTTGGACCTTTTCACAGAGTCTACTGACGATACTTTGTCCAAACCTCTGCATGGAGTCCAGAGACCACGTCAGCTGGTCCACAGAGCACCGAGTTCATTCTAATCACATGTTCAGTCCCAGTCATCTGTCTCCAGATGTGACCTCTGCTGATCCTGATATGGAGGAACTAGCTCACATTGTGTTTACATCTGAGGATTTTTACAGTTAATGATTCACACTTAAACACTCACAGACCAGTTAGATGAAGATAATGAGTTCTGTCATGATGGATCGTCATGGAAACAACACTTTAAACAATGAACGACCATTTCTGTGATTCATGACTGAGGATCAAAACAGTTCATCTGTTTAAGAACTTACTCTGGGTCATAAGAACGGCGTCCATCTTTGAAGTTAATAAATCGACCTTGAGACCGATCATCTTTGAAGTCAATAAATTGACCTTGAGACCGATCATCTTTGAAGTCAATTGATCGACCTTGAGACCGATCATCTTTGAAGTTAATCCATCGACCTTGAGACCGATCGCTCCTCATGGACAAACATCTGGGTTCAGGAGACTTTCCTCTCTGCTGATGTGACCTGAAAGAAACACTGAGATTACATCATCACATCATCATCTAATCATGAAGCATCAGCTCACATGGTGTCCGTCCTCAGAGACCAAAACAAGGTAAAAGGTCCATGACGTGAGGTCTGGATGTGGACCACATGAGTCCCTGTAGTGGTTTAGGTCTACTGGTCCTGCTGGTCCCACTGAGAATCAACAGCTCTGTCTTTCAGCTCACTGTTTGGTTTAGTCCCAACAGGTCTCACCAAGTCCTCCATGGAGCTCTCCCTCCCTCACTGGACACTGCTGAAGGGCCCTGGAGCAAGAAACCCAGAACCTCCACCAGAGAGTCTGGTAGAAACACCTCATCATCAGCCTGAGACCCTCACCTTGCATCAACAGAGGGACCATCTTTGAAGTATAGAGGAGGATTCATAGACCGGTTACTCTTCATGGACACACAGCTGGGTGCAGGTTCAGGTCCTGGTCTCTGATGGGTCCTGGTCACACATGTAGAAGCAGAGTTAGTGAGTCAAAGACGTTGGGACATGGAGACGAGTGGAGGACAGTTGGAGATGGTCCTCTCACCTCTGAGCTTTGGTCCTGCTGTCATGTTCTCCACACAGAGGAGCTTCAGAGGGACGGACTCCGTCCTCTGGGTCCTCAGCCTGATTCATAGCAGAGTCCACACCTTCACACCTTCACACCCACCTGCTGGGAGAACTCACACATTATGATCTTCATCAGGACAAACAGACAGAGCTCATTCACCTCAACACTAAAACTCTCATGAGACACTTTGTGTTGTTGTCTTCTGTTAACGTTTAGACTTCTGGAGGAAGACAAACGTCCTTTTACTTTCTTTAAACCCTGTTAACGTGTCAAGAGACGTCATTTTGAATGTCCATCCTATAAACGTAGTGTTTTAATGAAGCAATAAGGTGGTTTACAACGTCGGGGGTGGAAAGTCTGTCAAATGGTTCAGGCAATTCAGTGCTCTCTGCACCGCTGCTGCAAGCCGGTCAGTGTGGAACCGCTGTGCGTGGAAAACAGAAACAAATATCTGTATTTTATTTTGAATTACTGTTATAATGGAGGGGAAACACTGAGACTTGAGGCAGTACTATTGTCAATGTTACAGTTCAAGGGTATTTGTTAAAGTACTGCTTCAAGTACCTAATCGCTTTTAGAACACGGTGGCCAGCAAAATTATAAATTGGAAGTAAATTGCTGCTTTTCAGCCACCAAACGTTGTGTATCTCAGTTCAGTAGTATAGAGGAAACAGTCCCTGTACATGAGGCTGTGTTCGCCTCGCACCAGACGTTTGTTGCTTATCAGCCAGGAGATCAACATTCATTTGTGCGTCTGAAAACAAGTGTCAAAAAAGTGAAATGACAGTTCAAATCAGATCCACCGGTTATTTGGAGTGTGGACCGATATGGAACGCTTAGGTCAATGTAAACAGGTACAGTACACCTGAAACTCACTCACAAACCATCAGAACGCTTTACTTCATTCACCCGTATTATAAAGATGAACATTATCACTCATCGTCCAGCAGATGGAGCTGTGCCGTTTCTTCTCTTGATCTCCTTCAGACTCCAGAGAGAGGACATGTAGCTGTCCTCATAGGACACATGGTGGTTACCATGGTAACATGGGGAAGCTTTCTCCTGATGGGACGGTTCACTTCACCATGTGATCAGTTAGTAAAAGGTCGACTACGACCTGCTGATCAATGAGAGAAAAACTGAACACTAAAGAAAACAAACACATTCAAACACTAAAAAGTGACTAAATGTGTTTAAAGCAGATGAAGAAGTGAACATGAAGCTTTGTGGACTTAAAGGACTGAAGCAGCAGGTGAGACAAACAGAGCGTCTCTCAGGTGTGTTTCAGGAACAAAGGCCCAGGTGAGCTCTGTGGTCCCTGCTGGGTCCTAGTGCCCCTCCATCTGCTACCTTCCCCTCCTCATCAGTAACAGTCCTCACAGACCCCAGATCAGACTGAGCTCCTCTTCTTCATCATCAGACCAACAGCAGCTCCTCTCTGCCTGCTCACACAGGCGCCATCTTGTTTCCCAGCTTTAAACAATCACACGTCCACAACCATCAATGATGTCATTCAACCAATCACAGCTGCACTTACTGAGCTTGTAGACATGAACTTCCTCAGTGAGCAGCTCTCTTCTGTCCTCAGCAGGTCCGTGTAGAAAAGCAGCTCCGTGCTTCACTTCAGCTTCCATCAGACGGAGTGAAGCGAAGCAGCTTCTTATCTTTTATCAGAGAAGGTGTTTCCTCACGTCACCATCAAAGTACAAAGTCTGACTGGGTGACTGAATGTCAGTGTGAGCCGCGTTCACAAAGGTCAAAGGTCCTCGACTAGTAGGGAACACGTGATGAAGCAGAAACCTTTGTAACAAATGTGGTGAAGAGTTTATGTTGAATAAAAACATCCACTAAGACAAGTCAGAGTGTTTTTATTCTTCTCTCCACTTTGAGGATCTGGTTGAACCTGTTTGGGCGGAACAACTTACTCGTATCAGTCTGAAGCTGCGTGTTAAATCATTTACCTTTATGACAAACTGCACAAAGTACACGTTGTTACATTCAGGATTCTACTGAGGCTTCGTGCTACTTCCTCAACCCCTCATACCTGCTGTGCAAAGGATTGTGGGTAAGAACAGGCAGTAAAGAAGCCTGCTTGCATACAGTAAAATGTGCCTGAATGTGACCAAGTGTTTTCATCTTAAAGTTCCTCCCTTTGTCCCATTTCGGTTATTGTTGTTAAATATATTTGCGTGTGGTGGGTTGCAGATATTTTAGGGGGCAGGTGCTCAAACCAAAACAAAAGGGGGCCCTTTTGTTTTGGCAAATTA